GAGGAAGTGGACCTACCCAACTGCCGCAGCGGGTCAGCATGCGGGTACCTGCAGGTGAATGCGTACGGCGTGAGCACCAAACATTTCTGCCGCTGCCCCAGGAGACTCGGGTCATGTGGACTGCACTGGGACCCCCAGGACGGCCGCTCCGTCACCATGGGATCTGACCAGTTCAAGGTGAGTCAGTTTATCGCTCAGTACCAGCATGGCGACGCCTCAGTAGTCAAGGGTCACAGTTTTATGGCCGTCGAGGTCACAAGGTCATAGATCAAACCGGATTCATTCGTTAAAGGAGATCCTGTGTTAATTCTTAAGTGGAAGATGTGCAGAAGATCAGGTAGAGGGGGTCAGGTAACGCACTGTGAGGTTGATTAGTGGCATCAACGTTACTGGTAATGATAATTTATGACAACTCCTGGAGGAAAGGTGAGGTAACTCCTACACCTCCCGCTTCTACACGTTCATTCACTTCTTCTACACACTCTCGGTGTGTAGTTTTCTTCTCTCTTTTCTTCAACACCGTGTCTTTATTAGGCAGGTGTGTCCTACGTTTAAGTTGTTGCAAACTGTAGGATGATGGAAAGGATTGGGATGAGAGGTAAAGGAAGATGTTGTTTATAACTAGATGTCTGTTTTCTTCTACCATTTTCTCTCTCTTTTTTAATTCCTTCCCTGTTCTATGTTTTATCAACGAGTATTAACCGTATGATTATCATCACTGTTTGTTTACAATATCATTCGGTTTTTTAATCTTCTTTCTGAGTATCGATCTTTATCCACCTCTCCTCCCACGACCATCGTCATCTAGAGACCAGTCATCACCTTCACGTCTTTTTTCTGATAATTCACAGCTTCCAGGCAATTCCAGGGGACCAAAAGCCTTAGGGGTGTTGATGTGTTTGAAGGGCTTCTCCCATTGAATGCTTGGCAGGTAAGTTCCTCCCCCACATTGCCTATCATCCGGGAGCTAATTCCTACCCAGTATGAAAGTGTCTTGACGGGCTTCTTCCTCAGAGCTGCTCGAGAGGGTATTGTAAATTTATCCGTAAATGGCTTTCTGGTGGTTCTTTAGATCTCTGGGAAGTTAATTTTCAAGACTACCGATTGATATGTGCCAGGAGGAGTGTGTAGGTGTTTAAGGCACTGCAGAATCATGATGTCTGTCTTGTCCTGTGTTCCCCAACCAGTAGAAGTTTCACATGTTTGTTGATGCCAGTAGTTGTGAGTCAGAGTCGGTCTCAGAACTGGTATGGGAACATATTTCATTTATCCATATATACATATTTTATGTAAGTATATATGGGTACGGTGTATTTGTTTATTCTAAGATATTTGTGCATTTCTTAGATTTTCACAGAATAATTACGTATATCTGTGACGCCATTTACACTGAGTTCTGAGTTTGTGTTGTCTACCCTTTCCTAAAAGCCCACTACAGTTCTTCATTTCCTTATCACAGTTCTGCGGGTCAACCCCTTCTCTGCAAGTGTGTGGGCGGGATGAGGCAGCCTACACTGCCGCCTACATCTTGGACAAGGCGACGTTCAGTATGGCCGGAGAGCAGCACCACCTCCACTGCTACTGCCCGCCGCCCCTCGGCCACATCCGCTCAGACGTTGTGGAGGAGGTGGTGAACGAGGAGATGATCCTGGCCACCGTCTACACCTGCTCCAGGGTAAGTGTCATGATACACTACTTCCGGAGTCTGGAAAAATCATCTATATACTGTACAGTATAATATTCCTTGACGGGCATCACTGTATACCTAAACCTTTCAGCATTATAAAACTTTGTACCGAGTTTCACGATTATATTCTTGATAATATTCCCTTCTGCTCCGCCTGCAGCTGCCGGTATGCACAGAGGAGACGCCTTGTAAGGAGGTGGCCATCGGCGGCGGGACGGCCCTCGTGTATGTCAAGTGTCGCTGCCCCCACGAGTCTACTTGCCCTACCCTTGGCACCTCCATCACCCCACACTCCAACACTTACCCTCAGGGCTCCGCCTACTCCGTGCACTGCCACCGTCAGTATTAAATCACGACGCTCCTTCCGCAAGCTGCCTCCTCCACCACCCCCACCTTCACCAGAGCCCCTCATTTAATGAAACATGCTGTTTCTTCCCTGCACAATCGACCTAGACTCCGTTCTCTGTCACCAGCATACACCAGCGACCTCCGAACTGCAGCAGTAGAGGGCATCAGTCACTCCTCAGTGCCAGCACCACCCAGGCAATTCCTTCCTTCCTGACCTGACTTTCCAGTTACGCTGTACATGTCATCAGACATCTCGCCCCCAAATATGTGTCAAAGCTCTGGTAAGCCTTCGACAAAAAGATCATTCACAGGTTCTGTGTGGGAGTGAGGCCATGGCCCACACAGAGCAGCATCACCAGGGTGGGCCAATAACGCTAACAAATTCCAGTATATGAGACTCAATATGACAAAAGAATATCACAACATAGTATGATCACTTGTAAAATATGACACCGAAATGTTGTTCACCATAATTTGATACTCTTCGACGATACATTATATTATGCAACATTTTTGGCTATGTGCTGTAAGGTAAAACAACGTGCAATATTAAACATGGTAATAGGAACATACTCGTATGATTAAAATAATTTCGTATCTTTACTAATAATTAGTTTGCTAGTAATTATTAATAAAGGACATAAAGAAGTAAAAACGTAACCTAATACCTGACCTAAACATTAGAAACACACACACACACATATATATATATATATATATATATATATATATATATATATATATATATATATATATATATATATATATATATATATATATATATATATATATACTTGGTGTTGCTGAGATTTTTCATGACTAAACCGCACTTCACAGCCACATAGCCTCAGTAAAACAACAATGTTCTTACCCGAAGCAAGTTGCCTTCTGACATTATCCAGGCGCTTAGTTCGTAAACAGAGTCAATGAGAAGTTTTTATTCACTTACACACATTAGCTAACAGCAATAGACTACTCCCAGAGCGTTGCCATGGGTCTACCACATTTAAAAGAGGTATACGGACAATGTTGCCACAATAACTCACCACAGTAACACAAAGACGTTGCACATAGTTGCCAAGTAACGTCAATACAGGACCGCGCACACAGTGTTTCCGTACACGTCAACAGGTAAACAATGGGCCTCAGGTAACAACTCGTGAAAGTATAGCTCCTTTCCTCTCCACCTTCAGGAGTTTCCACTTGAGGTCTTCGACTCGTCCCTCAGTCTAGGTTGACCAGGAGATGTTTCTTTGGTAGTTCATTCTTTTATTCTTATCAAGAGGCTGGAATCATCTTGTTTTCCTATTCTTTCATTCTTCTGGTCACAATCTCTGGTAATCGACACTTGAATCCAGCAGGTTAGAGAGTCAAATGCCAAAATATGTTCAAAGCTGGATCGGTGATGAGAAATCCGGGATATGAAGGAAAATATAGAATCTTGGTGGAAAATCCGGAATCAGATATCTTAAAAAATTTCTGAAAATCTGAATAAAAAAATCCTACTAATCGCTTGAAATTGAAAAAAAAAAAAAAAGTTCAAAATTATGTGAACTTTGGATATGTCTTTTGGAACTTTGGAATACTGTGGATAATAGAGAACTAAGAAAAAATCCAACTTGCCACATCAAGAGAGAGCGAAAAAAAGAGGTGTCAACAAACATAAATCATCAAGACATTAATGACATAAAAAGACAAATAGAGATGGTTGAAGATATATGATGCTGATGAAGCTTTTACTGTATATCAGATTATGGAATTATGAGCATGGAAAGGTGGATTTATATCTGTTTAAAAGAATAAAAATATAAATTATTATGTGTATCCTTAACTAACCTTTATGGGTAAATATATTAGAATTTTATTTATCAGTAAGAACCTTCTTTACCCCTTTGTCTTTCCTCCCCTCTGTCACCCTCACCACCCTCCCTCACATTCTTACCACTCTTTCCCCTTACCCTCCTGACGAAGGGAACACCCCCCCCCCCCAGTTGCTAAAAGTAAATACATCACCAAGAGAGAAAGAGTGAGTAATGACAGCCCTTCGAAAACTCTTCACGAGATACGTATAAGCCACCAATCAAAGAAGCAATTGCAGACGTAATCAAACAAAGTGCTGCTTGACGTCAGGGGGCTGAGTGACCTAAGCTGACGTAGAGGTATGAGAGACATGGAGGAGGAGGAAGAAGAAGTGGGAGAGTTAATATAGTGGGACAGGAGTACTAGATAAGGGGGTAGTTGACGTAGGCGGGACGGAGGGAAGGAGCAAGGTAAGATTGATTGGGGGAGAGAGGTACTAGAGGTGAGGGTAGTTGATCTTAGTTGACGTGGGAGGTGGATTGACGTGGGAGGATTGATAGGGAAAGAAGTAAAAGAGCTGAAGATGTTGGGCTGATTTGCTGGGGGGTTAGGTTAGGTTAGGCTAGAGATTAAGTAGTTGATCTCGGTTTCTTGGAGGGGGAAGGGTGAAGTCAGAGGATTGAAGAGGAATGGATGGATACATAGGAAAGAGGAAATTTACAGAAGGGAATAAAGAACTGAGAGGATATTACTGAAAAGGCAAGAACGACTGTAGGGAAGAGAGGAGGATTGAAGGGGGAAGAAAGGGGAAAAAAATGTGAAGAGGAAAAACCATATATAGAAAAATAGAAGAATGAAGATAGTAAAAAAAAATGGATAAACAAAAAGAAAATTAATAAAATACTAAAATACTTCACTTTTACCTTTTAAATTAATCCAACATTTTTTTATAAGGAATTAAAAGAAAACTTTTTTTTTATCCAATACTTCGAGTTGAATGAACCAACAAAGCATCTTACATCGCCTTAAGAACAGCTGCTCCATCTCATATCCACAATCTGTTACGTAAAAAAAATAACACACATATTTTCACATCAATAACTTACTACAGTATATAACTGGATGAAAAGAAATACCAATCCAAACTACATACAACATAGAGAGAATTAGTTGGTGATGTTAAACGTAGTAGTGGTTGATAAAGGCAATCTATTTGGTCCTGGATATACGACAGGTAAAGGTGTGTGTGTGTGTGTGTGTGTGTGTGAGTGTTTTGAATATACCTTATATCCATCGTACGGAGATGCAGATACACTTCCTCCTCTGCGTATGTATGTATGCATGTATGTATGAATGCATGTATATATGTATGTATGTATGTATGTATTGTTACGAACCCCGCCACCAATTGTCCTGATCTACCTACCCAGCACTACGAACCACGCCATCTATTGTCCTGATCTACCTACCCAGCACCACGAGCAACGCCATCTAGGGACGAAACCCGAGTATGACTACTCTTAGTTACCACTCCGGGGTTTCCCTTCTCCATATCCTGGTTGTTGCGTCACCTCCTACAAGTCTTCTTCGTCAGCTCCAGTTCGATGAGAGTTCATTTCACTCTGGGAAGTGACCACAGGATCACCTATCCTGGAAACCTACGGTACAGTGACTACCTACCGTCTTCTACAATACTCAGCCTTGCTCGTCAGCCATCTCAGCTCCGCACTTAAGTAGTTGTAATCTTATATTGCCTCCCCCACGTCCACTTGCTTCAAAATTGTTTATGTTGTATAAATATGTATATACTGTTAATGTTTAGGTTAAGTATGGTTAAGGGTAAATTATAGAAAGATGAACATTTTGTTAAGGAATTTATGGCACTTTATTATACACAACAAAAACTCTCATCCTTTGTCTACCCTTTTATAGTCCGATTGTCTTTGTTTTTTTATTGTTGTTGCCTGTTGGGATCTGGGTAGACTTTTAACTATATTCTAAATCCCCAACTCGTAACAGTATGTATGTATGTATGTATGTATGTATGTATCATTCTGGCTGTGTACGTAAGCAAATCAGCGGTCCCTCTGATAGCAATAACACCACGATAACCACAAGTACGATACCCTTGGCCACTCTTGATAACAGAAAAGACAAACACAAAACAAGATAACGAACGAGACTCAAAGGTTATCATAATGAGGGGATTACTTTTCTTCTTTTACGCTTTTTTGTTTGTTTTTGTGTTTTTGATTTTGTTTGCTTTTGTTTGTTTTTGTTTTCGCCGCTTGAAAGATAAAATGGGGAATGTTTTTTTGTTTAGTTTTTTAGTCTCTCGCTTAAAATCTGTTATCTTTTTATTCTTACTCCTTCTTTCTCTGTTTGTCTCTTATTGGTTCTGTTTCTTTCACCAAGCCTCTCTCTCTCTCTCTCTCTCTCTCTCTCTCTCTCTCTCTCTCTCTCTCTCCTCCTCCTCTCCTCCCTCTCCTCTTCCCTACCCGCCTCCTTCCCTTCCTTCCTTCTTTTACCGTTTTATCCCATCGTCTCTCTCTCTCTCTCTCTCTCTCTCTCTCGTCCCAGGGGTGAGAGAGCCTCAGGTGGAGCATCATAAGCTCGTAATCTGAGCAGGTGAGACCCAGTAAACTCATAAATATTTTAATATCAGTAAAATTAGATTTTTTCTTACCTGGCCTCCTTAAACTGGTTGAGTCTTAGATGGATTATTTTACTACTATTTTTAGTTATATGCAGGAATTAGTCGTCACCGGGTGTGTGTGTGTGTGTGTGGGTGTGTGTGTGTGGGTGTGTGTGCGTGACGGTGGTTGTAGTGGTCAGCATACTCGCCTCTCCTGCCTGGTCAACAGTAAGTGGCTACAGTACTCGCCACCCGCCCTTAAGACTACTGGTACGAGCCCTGACACCCTTAGTTTGCCCAGTAGTATGCGGATATTTACCTTTGTAGCTGGAGAAGTGAAGGTGGTGGAGCGTATTGCTGTCTTCACTACCTTCTTTGTTTACCAGAGACATGGTGTTCAATGTCTTCCTGTATGTCCTTAAAGGCGGTATCACACACATACGTATCTTTCCGGCAAATTTCATCCGGTAACTCAAAATCGGCAACAGATTAGATACAGTTGCCGGTCAGTATCGGAGTTCCAGCCCACTCGTTTTACGACGTCATAAACTGCCGATTGCTGTGTTTGAGCGAGTCAAAAGAGAATCTATTTTATATTTAATTTAAAAAATATATATATTCAACAATTAAGTGTATTTTTTTATACTATATCGCGTATTTTTTGTTAGGAAAATATATTAATACTTTTATTTAAGCAAACATAATTTTACAATAACAACTGTCTTGACATCTTAGGGTAATTGTTTACGTCCTGTGGCTGTTCGACTTAACGCCCACCCCAGACGCCTACACCTGCAGTATACTGTAATGAGCTCCCCCACCAATTTTAACATATCAGAGTCCCCTAAGCTCCCCTGGTATAATTAATGCACCCATAATCGTGTTCACAAACGCCTTTTTTTTTCTGCCTCTTCATCCTCATAGCGCACCACAATACGCTCATTACAACAAGCATCACTGGGTCTCTAACGCCCATTTTGGTTGTTTTGAACTACGATGGTGACGTAATCAGCAACAGCGTGGCTTCAGCTCGAGTGATAGTGATTCTTCTATTTATACCGTAATAAAAGGGCATTTAATTACTTGCCAGATGAAAGTTACCGGAAAAAAAACAGTGATAACGTCTTTAAATATAGTTAGAAATATAGGACATAATTTTTGTCACCTGTATTGTAAATGTAAGGCCTCCGACACACAGGTAAAATCCGCCGGGTAATCACGTTCTTATAGGTGTCACATAGCATCAGTCCTCACTCTGGCACTCTCTAACACAATGCCAATTCGACCTTCACCTCAAAGTGCCTCCCCTCCCCCCCCTCCCAAAAGGCTTCATTCCTTACATATCTAGTTAATAATGAAGGGTCACATATTCCATCTATCCTCAGTGTGTCACCACGACCTGGATATAGTGATCCCTGGTGTTGGCTAATAATGTAAGACCGTCTCCCTGGCTCTCTATAATGAACTTAACTCCTCTTGTTACGACTGTCTCACCCCAGAACATTATACACTATTATACATGATTATAGATGATGATGTCTCCTGCCTCCTGGGTCCTAATTTTGATACATTGTCAGGTAATACTAATTTACCTTGCTCCTTTATTTTTCGGGTTGCTAATAAACATTTAAAGTTGAAATGTTTATTATATATATGTAGTGCACATATGTTCATGGAAGTGTGTATACAGAATTACAGATGTATGTATGTATGTATGTATGTATGTATGTATGTATGTATGTATGTATCCGTGCATGAGAGAAAAAGAAATGTGCTCAAATAAAAAGAAAAAGGAAGAGGGGAAAAAAGTGGTTGGGAAAAGAATGAAGTGGGAGAGAGACAAAGACAGATAGAGATAGAGAAAAGAGTGAGAGATTAAAGGATAAATATGAATAAAAAAAGATAGAAAAAGCAATAAAACACAAGAGTGCCCCCAAACATACGAGGAAAAATGGATAAGAAAAATAAATAAATAGAAGAGAAAACGAAACATTGATAAAAAAGAGAAAAATGTATATGATAGAATAAAAAAATTAAAATATATATTGAAAAAAGTTAAAAGTTAAAAGTACAAAACAAAAAGTGAAGAAAATATTGTTACGACCGTGTCGTATTTTTTTCTTTTTTTTTATATATAACATGCTCCCATGTTCCATATTATTCCTGTAATGATGTGTTAAATTTACTATTATATATTCTAGTCACCTTACCCTGTGCTGTTAAGGTTTTAACTGTCATTATTTGTTCAAGCCCATCTTATTTCTTTATTTTGTATTGTAACCAGCATTCTTTGTTCTCTAACGACCATCTGCATCGTTAAACGACCCACCGGCGGGTCGCGTGGCGGGAGCCGACCTTATATATAGGACCCACCAACTGACTTGAGTTAGTTCAGTCCTCTTGTCATACAGTACACATCCTTTGAGTGTCACTTGTTATTTAAACTTAATTTATTTGTGTTGTTCCTGTCGCCACCAATGTGGTATATCTATGTGAGTACCTATTTATGTCTCTGTGTCCATCAGTATTTGCCTAGTTGTATTCAAGTAATTCAGTGTTGTTTCACGTTAGTTAATTTCAGTGTTAGTTTTTATATGTTTATGCAGTGTTAACGTAATCCAATGCTTTATTTTTATTCTTTTGATGTTTCGATGTTTTGTATCACTTGTGTCTTAAAAGTTTCGATGGTGAATCAATTTGTTGTGACAGCCTACGAGGCTCTTTATTATGTTAATATTTAATCAATTAAATTCTTAAAGGTTTATTTTATTTATTTTTATTCTCTTTTAATTTACTTCACTTTTTGTTTGGTTACGCCTAGAACCTGGATATTTAAGTAAATTAGGAGACGGCGTAACAATATAAATATATATATATATATATATATATATATATATATATATATATATATATATATATATATATATATATATATATATATATATATATATATATATATATATATATAAGAAATGGAGGAAGAACAGTACAAGAAAATGGAATATCTAAAAAAAACGATAAAGAACAGACGACAAAAAATAACAAAATAACAAAAATCACTCAAACAATTTCAAAAGACCAAAAAAAAAAGTAAAATTTCAAATATTGCAAAACACTGAGATTAAAGATGCGAGTTTTCGGAAGAACCCCGAGAGATGTCACTGCCTCCGCCATCGCCTCTTTCATGGCCTCCCTCGGGCAACTGCTGAAAGAGAGAGTGTCTAGGTGTACCTCTGTCGAGTTGTTATGTTACCTGGCTGAAGACGCACCTCTCTCTCTCGCTCTAATCACCATCACCACCACTGTAATCCTCCATCATTAGCACGGTAATCACTCGCCACCACCACTGTAACTACCACCCCTACCACCATCACCACCCACTACTACCTCCACCACCACACCAATACTTCTCAAACCACTATCATCATCTCAATAATCACCCTACCACCACCACTACTACAACCACCATCACCCTACCACTATCACCACCACTATCACCATCCACTGAACGAAATAGCTACTATACTCTACCTTTAAGTCTAAACCACTTGTACGTGTGTGTGTGTGTGTGTGTGTGTGTGTGTGTGTGTGTGTGTGTGTTATTTGAAGAGTATCCGTGTATGAAATCTTGACCAGTATATGCATTCGTAGAATCTCTGGTCACAAATGTTTATACATACATACATACATACATACATACATACATACATACATACACTTTCTCTTACACTTTATTCCATCGGTAGAAACTGCACCACTACACAGGCTCTCTATGTGATGGACGGGCAATTTAGAACTGATCTTCCTATCAAGTTGACCAGACAAGCACGTGAATCCGATGTACGGTACAGGATGTCCATAAAATCGTATTCCGGTTTTGAATTAATATTTTATTTAACTACAACAAAACCAAAAGAATTATACCGTTTGTCAATCCTATAACTAATGAATTACTTAAAAACCTGTTGAGATATTTTCTAAATTTTAAATATTTTTTGATGGTTAATTCGATGAAATAATTTGTATTAAGAATAATTAAGTCGATTAAATTATTCCCAGAGTGATTTTTGAGCTTACTGCTCCACTAAGAGTGTTTCTAATTTTGTGTGATTTGGGTTTTTCATAATAAACCTTATTTTCAGGTACCGTAAAGGTCATAGTCAAGAGCCAAACATTAACATACATTCTTCCCCCGCATGGTTCCTCCTTTACATCACAGAAATGCACACACACACACACACACACGAACATTCAGTCCGACTTACAGTATTCCTCACACTTCCCTCTTATTCTCCCTCTCTCCTTCTGTCTCTCACTCCTTTCTTCATCCCTCCCTCCCATCATTCCTCCTCCCTTCTTTTCTACCATCCCGCCCTCTTACCCTCCCTTAATCCATCCATCACTTCTCCCGTCCTCCTTCTCTCCCTCTCGCCCTCCTTCTCTCCCTCCCTCCCTCCATCTATCATACCATCCCTCAGTCTTTCCTTCTCTCCCTCTCTCCTTCCCTTCCTTCTTTCTTCAACTTCACACGTGAGGCAGCGAAAACAAATTAATTCACCTATTTCCATTTTAAATCTCTTCTGTTTTTCCTCCTCCCTGAAGAGTGAAACCCCGCCTGAAGCTGACAGCACTAACATGTAGAAACCACGACATCACCACCACCCCCCCCAAAAAAACAATTCTGGCACTTGGCTGTTTTTCTCTTGTTATTTTTAAAGTAATTGTTCGTCAAGTATTTAGTGCGTCGGTGTATTGAAGGATCTACTTGAGGATGGTGTGTGTGTGTGTGTGTGTATGTGTGTGTGTGTGTGTGTGTTTGTGTGTGTGTGTGTGTGTGTGTACCTAATCCCCCTTCATTTTCTATACTTAGTTGTAATATCACTCTCACTCTCTCTACAGAACCGCTACGTTACACTTCTCGAGTTCAACAAGACCCTCGGATCAAGAGTTAGTCATTAAATACTGCAAAATTCTCCCAAGTTTTCAGGGTAAGAGCTCCTCTTTTGGTACGTTTCTTGTCGAGTGTATTTACTTGTGTTTATGTTAGGTAAGTCGTGGTCATTTGGGAACATTTACTACAGGCCTGGATGGTAGTGATATTTCCCCTAGGATATACTAGAGCCCACCATAAGCCAGAGACTTTAATACTGGGATAAGGCAGTGCAGAGGCTAGGGGAGTCCAGCAGTATTCTGGTATGTCACCAAGGCCAAGTTATTAGTGAAGGGAGGCAGTGAGGGGGGGGATAAGAGATATGAGAGAGAGAGAGAGAGAGAGAGAGAGAGAGAGAGAGAGAGAGAGAGAGAATTATTATTTGTAGTAGTAATAGTATATAGCATGAACATGAGTGCTGTATATACTGGTATTAAATTATCAGCAGTGTATAAAGTGTATAACATCGATGACTATTGTAGTAATGTACGGGAGGAGGTGAAATGCAATGAATGTTATTTCTGTTATTCATCACCCTTTGAGTAAGATAGTGAATTATCAAAACATCACCATAAGGTTACCAAACAATAATCCTGAAGCTATAGAACTATCACCATCAAGGGTTGAGTGTAACGTTGCTATTCATTGACAACACTATCCCTAGACTAGCCTGGACAAAGAGCTTCCAATCCCCTGTATGTTATAGCTGCGAACGTGACTTTGCGAATATCATGTGCGCGGGAGAGGCCTGGGGATGTGGTGGGGGAGGGGGGGAGGGGAGCTTGTCAAGGGAGTCCTGAGGTACCCCTGGGTGTCAACAGAATGTCCTTAGATGTCCTCGTGGCGTCCCCAAAGAGGAGGTCCTGAGAGTTCTGTGCCCTCCCAGAGAGGTTCCCCAAGGTTCAGTTCTCTCCCAACTAGTGTAGAGTTGTGGTGAATCTGTGTTGACGTGGATTTACAAGTCGTACAGTCGTCGATAATATTAACTTGTGTGGTAAAGACTTATATTATGTGATGATAAGTGTTAGTTAACTTGTGTTGATATAGCGTTGTGGTGTAGAGAAGCGCTGAATCACGTATGTAACAGCGTTGAACAAGAGGTTAACTGTGGGAAGGTGCTTATATCAGTGTATCAGTACGTCCATATGCTGATATACAGAAGATGTCTTGATAATTGCTTTAACAACGTGTATAGTCATTGTGTAATAGATATGAAACTAACCTAACCTAACCTAACCTAACCTAACCTAACATAACCTACAGTGATATCTAAATACTACCTCATTCTTCACCCCCTCCCTCGTTTTAACCCATCCCTTTAATTATCTTTCTCCTTCTCCACACTTCTCATTTTTCCCTCCCTCCTCACTCTTTACCCATCCTCCTTCTTTCCTTCCTTCCCTGTATCCCTCCCTCCTCACTCTTTACCCTCCCTCTTTCCTTCCCTCTTTCTCTCTCTCTCTCTCTCCTTCCTCATTCTTCACGTCTGCCACCTACAGTAAGGCCTCACGTGCACCCCGGACAGCTAACAGGTTTTAGCCCTAAGAGCATCAATAAGTATGGCTCCCTGAATCACCTTGGAAAAAAAAAAAACATAGGGCCAACCAGGTAGACCTTTACTGTACCTGTATATACTAATGGTTGCAGGAGAGACGTGTCGTGATACTTGAACGTGTGTGTGTGTGTGTGTGTGAGGACGTCAGGCAAGTCAGAAAAAGCTCTCGTTAAATTCACTAAACAGAACATTATCAGTCAGTCAGTCAGTTAGTGAGTTGATCAGTCAGTCAGTCAGTCAGGAAGAACAAATATTAAAGTAAATAATTAAAATTTTCTCTAGAATTATCTAAAAAAAATATCTGGTAAATCTTGGTCCATTTTATCCCTCCCTCGGTGGTGTAGTGTTATGACGTCACCCTTACATCATCGGTGAACAACAATAACAGAATTTTGGAAAAGATATTAAATATTTGTTTAATTAAAAGCAAAATTAATTGATTTATTATCCACGTCGTCATGGTTAAAGTTATTAAAACTATTATTTTGTTTTGATGGAATTGATGTCGAAATATTCAGTGGAATGGAAATAATTAGGCTGTCATGGGTGTTTTGTTTGGATGGGTATAATTTTAATATGAGATTAAATGGCTGGTGGTGATATTTTGTAACATTAGATTTCACCACATTTGGGTTACTCATAGCCTGAGTCACCACTCTTGATATGTGATGACGTGGTTTAATGATGATGGATATGATGCGTGTTACCAAACGTCTACAGGTGAGAAGGAAAAAATATTGATGTATGTTTACGGTTCTATGGTCGTGATTTATTTTATTTTATTTTATTTCAACTTTGTTTTTTGTTTTTATTGTTAGGTGGAGTGGTGGTGGTGGTGGTGGTGGTGGTGCTGGTGGTGGTGCTCCCATTGTGTTGCGTTGCGTTGTGTTGTGTTGTGTTGAGGCAGACGTTTGGTGGGTGAATTTCGTGAACTTTGTAGCTTCTAAAGGTAGGAGAGTGTTGGAGTTTGATGGAGTGTTGGAGGATGTTGTGACTGGAATTATGTACGTCGAGGGGTGTGGTGGAGAGAGTGGATTGAGGGTGTAGCGGAGGGTGGAAGTGGATAGGGTGGGTGGAAGTTACGGGTGGAGGTGGATAGGGTAAGGGGAGGTTGAGGAGGGACGTGGATAAGGTGGATGGGGGGTGTAACGGATAGGGTGGGTGTAGATTGAGGGTGGAGGTGGATGGGATGGGTGAATCTTGAGGGTGGAGGTGGATATGGTGGGTGGACCTTAGGGTGGAGGGTACTAGAGAAGGGTTTGGTAAATTGTTCATGATTATTAATTATTATATTAATTTATCACACATTTACCTCATTTATCTTCTCTTTGTTTTTTCTTTTGTTTTTTCTTCTTTTGTCTGCCTGTTTATCGATCATAACTCAGTGACCTACCCTATACATGACCTTGATATAGCTGAAGGGCGAGAGATACTTATGGTTAATGTAAAGGAGAAAACAATTTACACCTCAAATCTGTTATAGTCTTAATTACGTGTCAGATTAAGGTGAAAATATAATTATGATAATTTACTTCTAATGTATGCGTTTGGTTTTGTCTTTGAATAACAAAATTTCCCACAATATATTTAAATAATAATCGTAAACTACATAATAGGTTTGAATCGCAAATTTCAAAAATGAATAAATCTGAATCGTAAACTCCCTCCCGTACCTACACTCAGTTTATGACCTGAGAGGAAGAATATATTTCCCAATGGACTCTGTAACCAATAAATAAAAAGAAATGAGTGGATAATCCCCCCCTCCCCCCAACACACACACACAAAATACATAATATATCGTCACTTGAAAAAAAAATTAGGTATGTAATTTTAAACGTCCGATGTTTTTTTTTATTGGTATAAATTAATTTACACTGGACTAGTAATTATCCGAGGGAGAGAGGGGGAAGGGGAAGTCCAGCCCTAAATTACCCAATTCATAAAAATTAATCGTCGTATCAAACACTTTATCCCTTGAAATATTCCCCCAATGAATAAAATCGATGGGAAATCACCCCTAATGGATTTTAATTGTTAAGTGTTAAGCTCTTCACTTAACATTTAACTACGGGAAAAAGACGCCGTAACTGCCATTGATATTACTTTCTTATAACAATTCACGTAAGGCAATTTGTAGAATTTAAGAAAACAATATCTAAGAACAATACTTATGAAATTAACAAAATGAAAAGGATTTAAAATAAGACTAAGGTTGTCACATGTCTCCAGGGAGTAACAGAATGTAAACAAACCCCCCAAGCGTGTGTGTGTGTGTGTCTGTATCGTCATGGGGGAGAGAAGGTCATTCCTACGCCTGTCACAGTTTGTACTTTAGGGAAATATGATTGCGAAGATTATTACTCCCAAGGTGACGAGTTATGGTCCAGCTGAGGTCACTTCCTGGCGGCTGTATTCCAAACCAGAGTATAAAGACTCGAGGCATCCATAACTTGATGTTTTCCTTTAACTGGAGGTAAGTTATGGTAGAATCTTCTCTTACTTGTGTCGTAGCTTAAATTTTGAGAAGATATTAACTTAATCTTTTTATACACGATGGTTTAGCCCCGTGAGGACGTTGTGAGTGAATCTGGTGGGTTAGGTTAGGTTAGGTTAGGTTAGGTTAGAATAGATAAGAATGATAAGGGACTCTCTCTCTCTCTCTCTCTCTCTCTCTCTCTCTCTCGCTCTCTCTCTCTCTCTCAAACTACCAGTAACCATCTAATCTAATAGAGAAAATTGCCAAATAGAGTCCACACACAGAGACCCACAAAGCTCAACAAGCACCCTGTATCTATTACTCAAAGGGCATCCTAAATATTTACCCCTCCTGTAATACCTATTTATATCATCAACAAACACTGGGTTAAAAGCATATCATATTTAACATTATTATACCCTCAAAAACATCATAATATATTGATATTTGTTAGAGAGAAAAGAGCAGATGTATGGACAGTTGTTAACATGGAGGAAGATAGAGGGAAAAGAAAGGATGGATGTAGAAGGAGAGGAGGATGGAGGGGTGGAATAGAGGAGAACATTGGTGAAAGGAAGGAGAGAGTTGAGGGGAGGGAAGGAAGTGAGGGTAGAAAGGAGGAAGGGGGGGAATTAGAAGAGAAGGAAGGGTGAAAGAGAGAGAGAGAAAGGGTGGAATGAAGGGATGAAGGGTGGAAGGGAGGAAGGAACAGAGAAGAGAAGTCAAAGAGAGAGTGAGGGGGGGGGAGGAGGGAGAAGGAGGGAAGAGGAGGATCTTATAATAGAGAGCGAGGGAGGGTTAGGGAGAAGCAGGGAGGAGGAGGTAAGATAGAGAGAGCGAATTGATAAAAAAGGAATTCGATAAAGAGAGAGTGAAAGGGATGGTTGATAAACGAGATAGAGGGAGTGAAAAACTAAATGATAGAAGGGTGATGGACCGAAGGGCAAGGAGAGAAAGAGGGAGAGTGTGACGTAGAGGGGCAAGGGAGAGTGACGGAGAGGGGCAAGAGAGAAAGGGAGAGTGTGATGGTGAGGGGCAAGGGTTAGAGAGAATGAAGTGGAGGGAGGGGAAAGGGAGGGCCGCTTCAGAGAACACTTGCACCCATGCAGCGTGTACTTGAGGCCCCACACTGGGAGAGCGAGAGACTGGCAGACAAAGGTAACACACACACACACACACACACTATTCTGGGTCAGGCACCAGGTGGATGAGGCTACACCGTAGGTATAATGAACCCACCTTGTGTTGTTAACGTCGGGCAGGTGTGTGTGTGTTGGGGGGTAGAGGGGCATAACTTGATCACGTCTCCTCCCGGATATTCTGCGTTCAGGTGTAGAAGACAAACATAACCTGTCCAGACAAAAGTAATTTAACCTAACCTAACCTAACCTAACCTAACCTAATAGCAGAGACAATCACATTCTACCAAAGACAATCAAAGACCGTCAGAGAAGGATCATTCACGTTACTTGTAGTCAACATTAGAGGGTACAGCAAAATACGATTCACAGCCTCAGACTTACTTATGTGTGTGTGTGTGTGTGTGTGTGTGTGTGTGTGTGTGTGTGTGTGTCGAGCAGTGGTCCTCCCCTCCCTGCTATATGGCAGTGAGACATGTCACATACAGGAGGCACCTCAAGGCACTTGAAAACTTTCACCAACGTAGTCTACGTTCCATCCTCCGAGTTCGCTAGGAGCATCGAGGCTACCATTATCCATGAACAGCTACGCTGGACTGGCCATGGTACCCGCATGGACGACAGTAGACTGCCAAAGCAGCTACTTTACAGTCACCTAACGAATAGTAAACGTAACGCCGGCGGGCAACTGAAAAAGTATAAGGATAGTCTTAAGACAAACCTGAAAAAGTGCCAAATCGACCCCTTCACCTGAGAGTCGATTATTCCACACCGTAACACTTGGAGGAGCACCGCACGAGAAGGTGTCAATACTTTCGAGTTAGCCCGACTGAAAACCGAGGCAGACAAGCGTCAGCTCCGGACAGACGCTAACTAACGCCGCCCCTCCCGCACTAGATGGAGCCATCCACATGTGCAATTTCTGTGAACGACTCTGCCGGTCCCGTATCGGCCTCTTGAGTCACCTTAAAACTCCCCAACCTAGGTGACATCCTTAATAACTAATATCATTGCATTATGGCTGGATGGTCGTCATACTCGATTCCGAGTGACAGCAAAGTAGTAGTAGTAGTAGTGTGTGTGTGTGTGTAACTTGACTATCACAGTTTCCTTTGACATTTTAAATAGGAATAATATTATTCGTATCTTGTAATACACTTTCAACCTTGACTCACAATCTCCCGGCATTGTTTCGCCCCCGGAACGAAACCTTCACGTAATGCTCAGACAACAGAAGGTGTTTCACAAGCTCGCTCGACCAATTTTTTAACTAGAGTGTAATTGGCATGTCAATTAATTGTTAATTAGAGGTCATTAAGGGGTTTTACCGAGGGGAATGGTCATGGCTTGGGTGACTTTCCGCGGCGTCGATTCTGAAGGTGGATAATGTGAAGGATGATGAAGGTGTGGAGGAGGGTGATGAAGGTGTGGAGGAGGGTGATGAAGGTGTGGAGGAGGGTGATGAAGGTGTGGAGGAGGAGGGTGATGAAGGTGTGGAGGAGGGTGATGAAGGTGTGGAGGAGGAGGGTGATGAAGGTGTGGAGGGGAGGAGGGTGATGAAGGTGGGAGGAGGGTGATGAAGGTGTGGAGGAGGGTGATGAAGTGTGGAGGAGGAGGGTGATGAAGGTGTGGAGGAGGAGGGTGATGAAGGTGTGGAGGAGGAGGGTGATGAAGGTGTGGAGGAGGAGGGTGATGAAGGTGTGGAGGGTGATGAAGGAGGTGATGAAGGTGTGGGAGGAGGGTGATGAAGGTGGAGTGGAGGAGGGTGATGAAGGTGTGGAGGAGGGTGATGAAGGTGTGGAGGAGGGTGATGAAGGTGTGGAGGAGGGTTGATGAAGGTGTGGAGGAGGAGGGTGATGAAGGTGTGGAGGAGGAGGAGGGTGATAAAGGTGTGGGATGGGGGGACAGTGTTGTTTGTGTACTGCTCTTAACCTCATCTTTATCATTTCCTTTTTCTGGGTTTCTACAGAAAGTCAGAAAATGTGATAAATTAGGGGAAGATTTTGAACCACTTAACTAGGAATATTAATGGTTTGAATAATACCAAAACGATATGACTGAATTTGAAATTGCTTGAGCGTGAGCATAAATTGTTGAAATGAAAATGAATGGCTTTAATAAAATACAAATCATTCGAAGGACCTTAGAATCTTTTACCATAAGGCATAAATATTCTAAATGAGACATAAACCACTAGAATAATAAATGCATCGTTAGGGTGAATCATATCAGTAATGAAACATGAAACAGTCCAATTAAGTTATGAATCGTCTGAACGGCTACTGTTGATTTGGTTTGTTTACATGTGAGGGTAACGGACGTAAAAAAAGAAGCATAATGTTGTGAAAATAACCACGAAGAGTATTATATTATTATTATTATTATTTAGATGAAAGGTTTGTGAATCAGTGGCTTTTGTGTAGATACTATAAGAATGGGGAAAAATGCTTGTGAGTGGGCGTGGTGGAGACTCGTAGGAGTTGTGGGCGGGACATCAATGTTATAACTTTGATTCGAGACTTCTATTTTAAAACTCAAATCACACCCCCCCCCCCTCCACACACACATACAACAACAACTCAACTAATAACCGGTTGGGTAGATTCGGGTGAAACTTTTAATGACTTAATGCATTACCAGCCATGACAGACAGTACACCGCTTAAGTATAATAATAATGACACGTCTGGGCATAAGAACAGACCTTTCAATTTAAACTATAATACCTGTCTGTCTATAATACCTGTCTGTCTATAATACCTGTCTGTCTATAATACATATCTGTCTATAATACCTGTTGACATTATTTTTCAGCTGCAAGGAAAAAAATGAAATAAAACATAGAATTAGGATCAAGGAATCGTCCCAGTGAACTCTTAGAGACCTACACTTGACCAGCTAGCACCAAACGAGAGATAATTGCTATGACGTATATTTGAACTGGGACGAGGTTAGTGTCAGCGAGAGGGAGGAAGTTTATCCTTATCTGGCCTCATCTGGAGGTCATAAAGGTCATGTTTGGAGGATACAGTAAGCAAGAGGATAAGCCCACACTGTGTCCTAAGGAAAGAGACATCGAAGAGGAAACATCGGGAGGATTTTAAGACGTGGAGAAACAACATGACCGTGAGGAGGAGTGTGGTGTGGGAGGGAGGACTGAAGAGGACGATGGTGTTGGTGGCGCTGATGATGCTCTTCTGTCTCACCGGATGTGCCCAGGGGCGTGAGTATGTTGCTGATAGCACTTCATTTGATCTGCTTTGACACACTCTCTCTCTCTCTCTCTCTCTCTCTCTCTCTCTCTCTCTCTCTCTCTCTCTCTTTGGTCTTCCCCTTCCCCTCCCTCTTAAGTATCAGACATCCATATAAGGCCATATAATTATACCATCATCCATCCCGCCCCTCTTGCCTCTACTCTCTTTGTTCTCTTCCTTCCCCTCTTCCTCCATCTTTCTTCTACCCCTCTTCCTCCATTCTTCGTAGCTAATTAGGAGTTCCCGTGAGAAAAAAAATTATCCCATTAATCGGAGAAGTAAAGTTGTAAATATTATAAGCTGAAAATAACTATAGACACCTTGATGTTTTTATCACAGAGACGTAATCAAGAGGTCAAACTTTATATCGTTTATAGATACAAAAAAAAGAAGCTTGACAAGACAAGATTGAAATTTACTACAGAAAATATATTAACTTGGTAGTTTGTAAGTTTATACGGTGTTTAATTTAGGGTTTATAAGAAACTAGTAAATTGTAAATATGTAAGGCTTTGACTAATAAAAATGCACGTCGATATAATAGTATAGATTCTCATTTGATATATAGACGATATAAACAATAGGGTGATGGGTGTAAACACTATCATATACAGTAAAAGGACGATAGAAAGACATATTGTTGGAGCTAAGACGAATATTATACAGGTTTGGTGACACGAGAATAATATCTGTTGTTGTCTTGGCTGTGATGCTCTTATTCTTAGGGACCAATAAACTATTCTTCAATTCAAATCATGTGTAAAGCAGTTTTTATTATTTTATATTATTTTTCTTATACCTATGAGAATCTTTCATTTTCTTCGTCTTTATGGATAAATATATTTTTTTTTTTTTTATTATTATCGTAACTATATATTTAATTAGATCTTTAAGGAAGTAGTTTATTTTTGGGGGTATAACTATAAGAATTTAATATCTATTGTTAGTTTTTTTTTTATGTACATTGACGCGTTTAATGGGAGTTCTGCCGCCGTATTGGGCCTGTGACTAAGAATAACTTGATATGCTAAAGGGGATTCTCATAGTTAGTTAGCCGCCTCGATGACCATGTGTGTGGGGTTATTACGCTGACATGTGAATCTTACGCTGACATGTGAATCTTACGCTGACATGTGAATCTTACGCTGACATGTGAATCTTACGCTGACATGTGAATCTTACGCTGATATGTGAATCTTAATTATTTTTACAGATAGGAGAGAAAATATAACAATGATGTGAACTGTAAATGGAGTTTTATTAATTGTGAAGATGGTAAGATTCTGAAATACTGATATACAATGATGGGAAGAAGAAGAAGTAGAAAAAAAAACCATATATTGGAATGTTACTCGAAATGTGATGGGTCGCTTTCCTGCCATAACAAAAAGTGAGGAAAAATTTAATATTTGGGATGGCAAATTTATAGCAAGAATGTTATAACTTTAATGTAGGTCTCTCTCTCTCTCTCTCTCTCTCTCTCTCAATTAAAAAAAAATAGACAAAAATAAACAATAAATCTTCCTCTCAGTGTTCTTTAAATCTCTGCACCATCGCTCAAAATCATATATATCTTACCGGACCTTCCCGTAAATCATTCCCCAGCACGCGAGTAACCACAGCCTTCCCCCAGGTTCCTCCTACACGCTAAAAATCACTTACCGTTCACCTTAAACCCTGTGGTACAACCCCCCTCACCCACCACCCCCATTCTCCTATTTCTGAAATCATGATAATATGGACGAGATTCATGCCGGTCATAAGTACGCTGGGTAAAGGGGTTAAAATCGATTATCCTGATAAAATTAGCTCCCTACCCTACCTTGGTGTGTACGTGTGGTGACCCCCTAGTGTGCCTGTTTGACCTTTGCTCCTTGACCTCTCTTCACCTGGCTCAGTTTGACCTCTCTTTATATCTTAACTCATCTAGGTCATCCATGTTTTATCTTCATCAACAACCCCATGACCTTTGGCCTTTCATGATGACCTTTGACCCTAAATGATGACCTCTCTCGTTGCAGAATGTGGTGGGTCCCCGCAGTACCTGACGGCAGCTAACAGCAGTGGTCATCTGGCCTTCCCGGAGGTGAACTTAGACCTCCACACCGGTGTTTGGCAGCCCTACCAGTTCTATCCGACGGGAGTGAAGTGCTCGTGGGTACTGAAGGCTCCTGCCGCACACGTCATTGCTGCTGCCTTTCTTCACTTTGACACCGAGCAAGATTATGACTTTGTTACTGTGAGTGTTACTATAGAGTGTAGAAATTGCTCTCTCTCTCTCTCTCTCTCTCTCTCTCTCTCTCTCTCTCTCTCTCTATGTATCTATCTATCTCCCTCTCTATCTCCATCCATCCATTCATTGCCCCGGTGGTACGTTGTCAAGCGTCTTAAAAAGAAAATCCTCGATACAAACTTTCTTACAGCCAGAGACCGACAAAAGACGCGATGGAGTATATGTTTCAGACGACTCAAGTTGGTTCAGGTAAACAGAAAACAAAATAGAATCAAGGTACAGAGTATTTATCCCCTTACCCTCTTACACATCATAGACACCGAGGGAGAGGTGAGGGTTAGTGAGGTGAGGCAGAGGTGAGGGTTGGTGAGGGAGAGTGAGGTGAGGCAGAGGGTCAGGGAGGATGAAAGATGAAATAGATCGCGTATGATGGGAAGATCAGTGGATAAACGTGTCCTGCAGGAGCTCAGTAGGAGGAGGAGGAGGAGGAGGAGGAAGATTGTAGAGGAAGAGGAGGAGGAGGAGGAGGAGGAGGAAGGTTGTAGAGGAAGAGGAGGAGGAGGAGGAGGAAAAAAATGTGTAGTTGGAGATAGGAGAAGAAGACTAATGCACCCAGGGTTAGTCATATATCTTGTAAAATGTAAACAAAACAAAAGAGAGAGAGAGAAAAAAAATGAATGGTACAGTACCACCACCACCACCACCACCACCACCATCATCACCACCACCACCACCACCACCACCACCACCACCACCACCATCACCACCACCAACAAATGTAAACTCCCGCGAACTTCCCCAAGAATGTCCTAATGTTATTTCCCTGACTGTCCTACGTCACTAAGAAAAATTTATGAGTTTAATATTCGTTTCGTTCGCTTGACCTTAGAACACAACAAAGTCAACTAAGACATATGTAGTGTTATGATAAATGTATACCAAGCACTCTATAAGATTAAATGTACACAGTAGTATTGTAAACGATTATACGTAGGTGTTTGTTTATTTAACTCAAACTTTCTCTCTATGCAATTCACTCCTACGCCAAGGTTAGTGCGTCACCCCACACCCTACACTCTTCCAAAGTTGTTTATCTTAACCTCGTATTGTGGACAGTGTAGATGTAGCACACTGTAGACTAATCCTTCTGTATACAGGGAGTCAATGTGGCCAGTACATCAATCTTACTTCCCTTCACTTCCCCACTAGTAAAATTATGTCACCCAATCCGCAAATGGATCGACTTGGGGCGCCCCTATCCAGTGGACTCTTGTGGAATCTACTTGTATCAGAACACACCCCCCCCCACTAGAAAACATAAACACAGTGAACTTTATCTTCTGGGGAGTTACCGGATACTGAACTAATACCCGGAATTAACAATCTATATAACACCCTGACAAAGAATATTTTTCCTTCATCACATAAACATCCAACACCTCTAAACACCTCGCATCAACACTCTTCAGTCTCTCTGGTAATGGGGGCGCTTCGATAACGTGATATAACAACAACAACACACTCTCTCTCTCTCTCTCTCTCTCTCTCTCTCTCTCTCTCTCTCTCTCTCTCTCTCTCGTGTTATAGAAAGTCAGAGAAACAGAGGAAGTCAGATAGTGTACATAGTGGATCTTCAGGAGGTACAGTAGCCCTGGTCACAGAAATAAGGATAATGGAAGAGGAAAGAATTTAACATGGATGAAAAAAGAGAAAGAGATGGAGAGTGTATGGATAAATGGATAGAAATAAGATAGTATAGATGGATGGAAGTTAGTATGAGGAATAGGAGTAGGTGAATAAAGTGTTGAGAAAAAGATGGAGAAAGAGTTTGAGATCTAGGTGGTTAGGTTAGGTTAGGTTAGGTTAGGTTAGGTTAGGTTAGGTTAGGGGGTGTGTGGGTGAGGGAGTGTGTGGGTGAGAGAGTGTGTGGGTCAGGGAGTGTGTGGGTGAGGGAGTGTGTAGGCGAGGGAGTGTGTGGGTGAGGGAATGTATGGGTGAGGGAGTGTGTGGGTGAGAGAGTGTGTGGGTGAGGGAGTATATGGGTGAGGGAGTATATGGGTGAGGAGTGTAGTGATGTGGGTGAGAGTGTGGTGAGGGAGTGAGGGAGTGTGTGGGTGAGAGAGTGTGTGGGTGAGTGTGTGGGTGAGGGAGTGTGTAGGGAGTGTGTATGTGGGTGAGGGAGTATGGGTGAGGGAGTGGGTGAGGGAGTGGGTGAGGGAGTATGTGTATGGAGTATGGGTGATGAGGTGTTTGGATGAGAGTGTGTGTGAGTGAGGAAGTGTGTGTTGTCAGAGGAGATGGAAGAGTGTGTGTGGTATCAGATGGAGCGAGAGAGTTGTACACACCAAGACACATACATACATACATACATACATACATACATACACAGTGACATACAGACAAATGATAACACAGCCATTAAGAACGACATCATTATGCATTATTGCCCCCATTACACCTCCTCGACGAAGCTAAATATAGTCATTGTTAGAGATACATTTGTCTTCTGGTGGTAAAGATGAATAAGATATGAAAGTGTGGTGTTGCCCCGGGGTAGTGTGGTGTTGCCCCGGGGTAGTGTGGTGTTGCCCCGGGGTAGTGTGGTGTTGCCCCGGGGTACTGTGGTGGGTGTGTGGTAAAAGCAAGGTTTAGTATTTAAGATTTTTTCTCCTTCTTCTCTTTATGTTCGCTCTCCTCTTTCTCTTCCTACTCCTACTCCTTCTTCTTCTCCTTCTCTTTCCCTCCTTCCCTCCCTCCCTCCCTTCCTTCCTCTCTTCCTAATCTTCCTGCACCGCGCGTCGATACTAGCCACGTCACTCCTTGGCCTGGGAAAACTCTGGTCCCGGATTGGCTGGACGCTTCTAAGGGTTATAATGTGACGTCACTCCCTCTAGCTTTCGCCACCTGACCCATGACGTCATCCATTGCGTCATCATTTCAAGGCACACTCCGCAGTTACAATTTCTCCCTTTTCCTTCCTTCTCTCCCTTTCTTTCCCTCTCTCCCTTCTCCCTCACCTTCCACACTAAATATCCGAATTTTTTATACTGAAATCTCCAACATAAATAAGCTGAGATAGGTTAGGTTAGGTTATTCTCTCTCACACACACGCACACACACGCACACGCACGCACTCATAACAAAGAACATTCCTCATCACTATTTAACACGAGCCAGGAGGTGCCACTTGGTATAGGAATGTCAACAATTAACACCCACACTTACTCCTGTATTCCGTGACGTCACCCACTGCGTCATTGTGACCCAGTGATACATTTCGTGACGTCACTAGTTGCATGATCCAATCACGTTTGGTGTGTTCTCTGACGTAATTTTTTTTCCCTTATCCAATCACGTTGGATGTGTTCCCTGACGTCATTTGTTATTATCACGTGACGTCACCAACTACGTCAAAGGAAATGAAAGATGGTAGGACAAACAGAGAGATAGAGAGATAGAGATAGACAGGCAGAGACACACTCACGAAGAAAGACAGACAATGAGAGGTGGTGCGATTACTCTATTTACATGCTGGTGTATATAACTCTCCCTTCTCTGTAATCGACTCTTGCTATGATTTTATTCTTAGAAACCTGACCGCCTATAATGACCCCTTGACTCCTCATCCTGGGAAAAAATATTGACTCTCATCATTTCCCTCCAAGCATACTATTACTCCCTAATGACAGGCCAAGTTCTCTTAAAATCTAGTGATAAACCTCTTTTAACCCTCTGTCTTTATCATTTTCTTAATAGTGTTTTTTTTTTCTCTATCCTTCCTTTAGTTACGTTGGCGAATTATATATATAAACAAAGTAAACAACAAGGTAATCCGGTAATTCCTAGGTAATTATAACTAGGAAGTGAACGTTGATTGGTTCTTATTATCCAATTACAATGATGTATCTTATTGACGTCACAGTTTTATATTATATCAGGTTATAGAGAATGATTGCTGATTGGTCGATTATCCAACCAATCTTAAAAGTTTCTAGCCAATTGTATCATTCTCGTTAGTTCCTTAATGTAATTGGGGAAAAAAATATATTTATAGCCAATAAAAATGTTCTCTTAATAATCAAAATGTTTAAGAAAAGCTATAAATTAATCGATATTTGTCCTCTCTCTGTAGGCTGTTGTAGTGACGTTATGTTGAGGGTATTGTGAGGCGAGTAGAAAAAATTGTCTTTTGTATGTACCTAAAATATACAGGGAGTCATTGTTGTGGTGAGGGAGGTGCGTGAAGTCTGTTGTTGTGGTTGTGGGGTGCGTGAAGTCTGTTGTTGTGGTTGTGGGGTGCGTGAGGTGTGTTTCTCAACCTACACCTACACTTACTTACCTCGCCTGAGTCCTCCTACACCTACACTCATTCACCTGTCTTCCTACACGTTACCATTGTTACCCCTACAATTACAACCATCCATTCTTCTTCTCGTTGGTAAAAGTATTAAACATTCACTGTCATTAATTATAAAACAACGATATCCCTCATGCAATAATAAACATCCATCAGATAGGTCAGTAGAAATAATTTTTATACACACTGGTATAATGGAATAACCTTCACCTCTCTCAGTGCTCGAAACTCAGTGGTGAAGTTAGTGAAGCAGAAGTTAACATGGTGAAAAAAACATCTTTGCCATCTCCGCCGTTCGGGGTTTATAGACTAAGACTAAGGGTGAAGGGATTAGTCAATTCAGGGGGTTAAAGGTAAGAGTGGGTTCTATTTTTTTTAACCTTTGGTGGGTACAGGAAAGGTTAATGTTGTATTCATTGGGTCACAAAAAAAATAATCACTGGTGTCTTGTCAACGGTGAGCTTTTAAGATTAGTCATATACAAGGTGCGAAAGTTCACATGGCTTAATGACTCGTGTGTGTATGTGTGTCTGTGTGTTTCGGAGTCACCTTAATGATTCACTGATGACATAAGACTAGTAGTTTATGATGATATATGGATATAATGATAATGTCTCATATAAACTGTATACATATAGACACACACTTA